CAGAATTAGACATATCCATCTCCATTATTCATAAATATTTTTTGATCTGCCATTATCTGGGAAGTTGCGACACTTAAAGAATTCGATATGAGAAACTAAATCATGAATGCGTCTTTAAAGATTTAAGTATCCATATGAACATTGAAAAATTATAAGCAGGTAATGAACTAATAAGTTGGTAGTTTAACTTTAGTTTGTTCAAATTGTTAAAAAAAATCGATAGCTTAAGACCCCTTGACTTCGTGAATAACAGAATGCAAGCTACGTTACTGTATACAAATAATAAAATAACTTACAATTCAACAGGAATTTGAAATTAGATGCGTTAGGTCCTATGGGGCGAACGTGTATAAAAATTATTTGGGAGCGAACGAAAACGATACCAAAATCGAAGATGAAAACCATTCTCATTCAGTCATTGCAGATTTCTGTTTATTCCTGCACTATTAAATCATTTGTTTGAGTTACCTGTAGTACATCCTCGAGTATTCATTGATTCATAGCTCCTTGGTATTGTTTGTCTTGTTAAATTAACTGAAACAAGTACTGTTGTTGACAATCGGCTGACGGCGTTCTTCTCTTTAAGACGCGTCATAATCTGTATCTTTCAAGCGTTTTAAAAAAACCCGACTCCGGACGAGAGATTCACGGATATTGTCCTGATCTGATGTTCAAAGTACTTCTCCATGTGAAAAGTGAAAAATAGGTACCTGCTAGTTCCCCCATTCCTACTATACAAATCCGTGGAACATATAACAAATTATTTTGTTAATAAGCATCCTTTACATAGGAGCACCTCCACATGGAGCTGTTAGTTAATTAAACCCTTACAACTATTTAATATATATATTTATAAAATCTGGGACTATTATACTAACTTAGTATAATAGTCCCAGATAAAATATAATAAATATAATTTCAATTATGACTGTGATTTCATTGTGTAAAAGAATATATATATATATCTATACAAAAGTAAAATGTTTAACCTTAATTCAATGAGCAAGCCTTGTCTAATTGGCAATCATTTACCACACATTTATTAAAGCTTAAAGAATGTAAGTTTTTTTTAATAATAAAGTGTAAATGTAACCAAGGAATTGTATATTTAAATATACAATTCCTTGATGTAACCATTCATTTTTTCTGAATAAAAACATTAATCTAAGAATACAGGGACGTAAAATTGTTTTGTAATTTTAAAATGTGTCCCAGTGCAACAATTGATCATGCAATCTTTCAATTTCAAAGATTATAAACAAAATTTGCTTCTTGTATAGATGTCATGTTATAAAAAGCAATACAAAAAATTTTATACTGCACTTTCAATATACTTAAAAAATTGATAAACATTCAAATTTACATTTATTGACAAAATTTAGTACATATAAAATTCTTTTCTGTATTCTTACTAGTTTTTATTCATATATGTCCTAATGTTAAACTTATGTGCGATTCAATGCTCACAAATTTTCTTGACTTATAAGTTTGAGGAAAAGTTTTATGCACAGTAAAATAGGGAGATAACTCATGTTTGGAAGTTAATGATATATATATGATATATATTATCCTTTTTTTCTTTGCAATAATGGGAAGTAAAGAATCTATTACAGTAACAGTAATCTATTTCATAAGTTGGAGTTACCTCCCACATTTTTTAAAAGTATAAAAGTAAAGAAGACATAAGATGTGTGAAAGTAATTAAATTTACTACTTAATAATTATAGAAATATTACTAGTAAATCAAATAAGTCCATCAATATAATATAGGCATCTAGGAATTTGAAATAAGAGATACACATGTATACAAAATTCCATCCTAATGACTCTACTAGAGATAAATATAAACAGTGATAGAAAATATAATTCAAAACCAACATGTTTTTGTAGTTGCATCTAACCCACTATCAAGGGAGATAATTCATGCTTAACAAAAAGATAAATATTTATCATTTACAATGATTGTATGTCCAAATGTGTAAATCTTGAGAGACAAAGAATAACAGTTTTTAAAATGATTCAATTTTGCAAAAAGAAAATTGGAATGAATAATAGCAAAATTCAGGTGAATTTGTTTCTCATGTTACAAAAATTTAACTCAATAAAGTTAAATTTCTCTTATGAATTCATGGTTTAATTCAGATAAAATGAAACATAACATTTTCACATGAGTTTTGATTCATGTTAATTTCATGTGAAATTGTTCACGTGAATTTAACGTGAAATTTTTCATGTGAATATATCATGAAATATTCACATGAATTTAACGTGAAATATTCACGTGAATTTCACGTGAAATACTCACGTGAAATACTCACATGAATTTCACGTGAATTTCACGTGAAAATAGAATTTTTCAAATTAAATTAAGATTTCCATGGAATATATGATACATATAATACAAGATATTAGAGGTTGACAAAATGTTTGATTTTCGGTTATTTTTTTTTAACTTAGACACCATTTATATTTTTTCACGTGAAATTCACATGAAATGTTTTACGTGAAATTCACGTGAAATAATTTCACGTGAAAATTTAACGTGAATTTCACGTGAAATCACTTCACGTGAAATTAACGTGAAATTCATGTGAAATTCATGTGAAATTCACGTGAAATTCACGTGAGATGAGATTCACGTGAACTTCACGTGAGCAAAATTTGGCTGTGTAGGGGAAGACAATAATTTAATAGCAGTACATTTCTGAAGATTTTTATAAGGGCTGTTCTATTAAAACATACAAGGTACTCAGGGAAGGCACTTTAAAAATGGGGTAACCACCTATAGAGGCAAATTAAAAATTTCACTTGCATTTCCAATACTGTAAATTCAGAAATTATTGCGAAAAATGCGACAGGGTTATAATCGCAATAATTTAAACTCGCATTTAGAAACTTTTTATATGAATTAAACAGGATTTTTCTCAATATCGCAAAAATTAAAATCGCAGTTTAGTCTAAAATGACAAAATCGCAATAATAAATGCACGCAATAATTTCTGAATTTACAGTATGCAAAAACATAGATGACACCCACCAATAGTTGAGATTTGGAAGTGCCTTCCCTGGGTCCCATGTATGTTTTTATGGAACAACCCTAAGATAAAGGATTTTCTTTTAAAAGAAAGTTCATGTACACGTGTTGAATAGTAAAACTTAGCCTTCCAAGTTTATAAAACACATTCAACTTTTTCTAAAATTTGAAGTATCATAATGAATTAAAAGAGCAGGAAGATTCATTAAAAGAGATCAGTTTTACTAAAAAAAAAAATCTTTTTAAATCCATGGCTAGCTTGGACAACATGCTTCATACAGAATAAAAATATATAATTGTGTATAATTTGTAATGGGCCAACAATTTATCTTTTATCCAGTATAAAAAATTTTACTACTCATTTCACATTTGTCAGCCACGACAGCGATGTCTTAATAAATCTACAGATTTCTTGTAATAGTATTAAACTTGGGTCAAGAAAACAAGACTGAAAACGACAAATGTCAAATAACATAAAACAGTAGTCTTTTGTGTTATGATTTTTGGTGTTTTAACGCCACTTTTAAGCACCGCTTTTGGGCTATTTCATGGCGGCCAGTTTTTATTGGTGGAGGAAGCCGGAGTGCCCGGAGAAAACTACTGACCTTCGATAGGAAAACTGACAATCCTAGTCAATTAAGATTGGAGTCGAGTGCACCTGCACGAGCGGGGTTTGAACTCACAACCTCAGTGTTGACTGGCTACAGGGGTTAAGAAATTTTGTAACAGGTCACTAGCCCAGGGCTAATTGGTAGCAGGATTTTACTAGCCCTGTTGGAAGAACTGCTAGCCCATCAAAACTGACCTGCTAGCTTGAGTATGCCTTACAAATTCAGAGTTTGCTGCATAAAAAAATGAATTCTATAAGCTTAACAATTTTTATCCCTTGTACAGTAGATTTCGGCAAATCGGATACCCAAAACTTATGTCAGCAAAAAAATATCCCATTAGCCGATATATTCAATTAGTCGATAATTGTATAAGCATTGAACATGTTGAATATTCTGCAATAATGAGTTGACCAAATCCGGAGATGGTGCAAGTCTTGACCACTGCTATACGTATATGTATATATAAAAGGATTGGAGTGATTTTTATCAGATACATCATCACGTTTGTGTAAAATAATTATCAGCTGCCTGGTTATATGTAATGCTCATATTTGTTTTCAGTTTTTAAATCCTATATTTATTAAAATAAATCAAATGACCTCAAATATTTATGTGAATAAATATCAACCATCCACTGTTTGTGTCTTTTGTAATTGTTTTATAAACGAGGTAATATCCATATATATTTACATCTATCACAGGTAAGCTAATTGTGGACTATAAATAGATTTCAAACTGAGTACAGTCTCTAAACTGAAATTGTATTTGTTATATATTTTATTTCTTTAAAAATCAAATTTATTTGAATAGCAATGAAGATTATCATGATTGATGAAATATTATTGCATCAAGTTTAAGTTTACTGAAGACTGTTTATGTTTAGGTCATGGTTCTGGAGGCTTCTTAACAGTATGTTAACAAAACAAAAAGGCGTCCATAACATGTGGTCAAATTTATATCTGACAAAAGTCAGGTTTCTCCTGTCAAAAGTATTCACATTTATATTGCAATAAATTATTCAGAAGGAGGTACAATCAGATTACGTTATATTTCTCTGGTTGTATAATACCCCATGTACTGAGAAATCGATATTGAATTGAACAGAAAGTACGGGATCCACCACGAGTTATTTGTTCTATTTTTAAATTAATACATGTACAAAAGCAGTTCAAATTCCGGGAATCCCAGATGACGTAGTTGAATCTGATTGGCTAAGATAGAAAATCTTTTTTGGAAACGCCATGAATTTTTTGTTACTAGTCTGTCACCACCGAGGCCCCTTTTTGTGTTTTGATAAATTGTTTTAATTATGTGTATTTTTTTTTTTGTCAGTTTTTGTTTGTTATCACCCTCACCAACGAATTCTTGTTCTCCAAAATTAAACATGACAACTCCCACATTACCACGATAGTCCTGATCAATCACTCCAGCTGAAAGTAAACAACATAACGATTAACTATAGTCCTGATCAATCACTCCAGCTGAAAGTAAACAACATAACTATTAATGATAGTCCTGATCAATCACTCCAGCTGAAAGTAAACAACATAAGGATTAACGATAGTCCTGATCAATCACTCCAGCTGAAAGTAAACAACATAACAATTAACGATAGTCCTGATCGATCACTCCAGCTGAAAGTAAACAACATAACAATTAACGATAGTCTGATCAATCACTCCAGCTGAAAGTAAACAACATAGCAATTAACGATAGTCCTGATCAATCACTCCTTATGAAAGTAAACAACATAACAATTAACGATAGTCCTGATCAATCACTCCAGCTGAAAGTAAACAACATAACAATTAACGATAGTCCTGATCGATCACTCCAGCTGAAAGTAAGGGATCATAGATTTATTCTTACGAGGAAGCTCCGAGCATGCTCGGAGGATGCTCGGAGCTTTTTCAGTAGGCTCTTCTCTGCAGTTTATGTGAAAATAATTATCATGATCCATTAAGATGTCAATCAAATCTACACCACTTCTATAATAAGGAAAGTTGAGCATTATAGAGGAAGCTCAATTAACACCTGTGTAAACAACTGATCTATTCAAATACATTTTGCATGACATTTTACAAATTATAGAAAAGATAAGAAATTCTTCAACAGTACTGTGTAATGCTTGGAAAGAAATCTCAAGTCTCCACAAAAAAGTGAAAGTCATTTAACAAAAAATATACAATTATTATATTTATTAATCATTTCTTTTTTTATAATAAAAAAAATTCTCAAATCTTATAATTAGATGATATGATTTAAATATAGTTTATATTATATAATATGCTACATAAAAGTTATCAAGACACAAACAACAGTCAGGGGGCGATACTAAACAACTTATTTTTTTTAGTTACTTAATATATATTAATAGGTATTTTTTGTTTTTTTAAATGTCAAAAGTGGACTAAATGTAGTTTTTAAGAATTTTTTCATCATTTCATTAAGTAAAATTAAGTATTTATCCAACTTGAGATGAGTATAGAGAGATTACTTTAAAAATAATGACAAAAATATTACTTTTATAAATTATTTTATACATCTTTGAAAAACTAAGCATACTTACAATTACATGTATTTAAGGAACATATGTAATTGTTTTTGATAAAGATTTCAAATTATAAATAACTTCAAGTCTTAATTAAATCACAAAGTTCCATCCATTTATATTTGTTCAACTATAAGATTTTAAAGGAAAATGTTATTTTAATAGCCCCAAGAGACCAATCTATGACCAAGAAGTGTGGCATCAGAAAGGCAATTAGTGTTTCAGGAGGATTTAAATAGTTTTATACTGCATGGGGAAAATAACCAGATGTGAAAATTTGTTAAAGCTTGTAAAACCTGTATGAATGGACACCTATAGAAATAATATTAACAGAAGTTACTTATTCATGATATATAAGTAATATTTGAAACAACCTTGTTTTCAATATAACTTGTATAAGTAATTTTGAAAATTACTTGTTTAAGTAATGCCTCTAACTATTAAAACAATGATAATTTTTTTTGTTATAAAATAGCAAAGTTAGTTTTTTATAAAAAAAATCATGGCTACTCTAAGAAAGGTTGAGGAGGTAATACCACCATTGTTTTCCCTCTAGTACGTCTCACTTTAATTGTCATTTTTTTTATAATTGTGCAGATTTGGTTTTATTTTAAATAAAGAAGTGAAGTTTTATCCTGACCTGTACTTGAATGAAAATCTAATATAAAATTGTTTCCCCCTATCAGTCTTTGTTTAATTGGTATTTTTCCAAAAATATGTGCAGAATTTATCTATGTTTTAAATAAAGAAATACTTGACATGAGTAAAGTTTTTTCTTGTCCTGTACTATAGTAATAAAACAACATAATTTTTCAGTGCATATAAGAAAGAAGACATCACCAGAATTAACCAACCAAATTCTATCCCCCTTTTTTTTTCTCTGTTTACAAGCTTTAGTAGCCATGTCCCCTAAAATTGCAAAAATATTTCCTATAAAAAACTAACTTTGCTATTTTATAAAAAAAAATACCATTGTTTAGTTAAGGGCATTACTTAAACTAGTAATTTTCAAAATTACCTATACAAGTTATATTGAAAACAAGGTTGTTTCAAATATTACTTATATATCATGAATAAGTAACTTCTGTTAATATTATTTCTATAGGTGTCCATTCATACAGGTTTTACAAGCTTTAACAAATTTTCACATCTGGTTATTTTCCCCATGCAGTATAAAACTATTTAAATCCTCCTGAAACACTAATTGCCTTTCTGATGCCACACTTCTTGGTCATAGATTGGTCTCTTGGGGCTGTTAAAATAACATTTTCCTTCAAAATCTTAGAGATGAACAAATATAAATGGATGGAACCTTGTGATTTAATTAAGACTTAAAGTTATTTATAATTTGAAATATTTATCAAAAACAATTACATATGTTCCTTAAATAATTGTGCTTAGTTTTTCGCTTAGTAATTCGAAGATGTATAAAATAATTTATAAAAGTAATATTTTTGTCATTATTTTTAAAGTAATCTCTCTATACTCATCTCAAGTTGGATAAATACTTAATTTTACTTAATGAAATGATATAAAAATTCTTAAAAACTACATTTAGTCCACTTTTGACATTTAAAATAACAATTGAGATTATATCAAATAATTTAAAAAAACAAAAAATACCTATTAATATAAGTAACTAAAAAAAATAACTTGGTTAGTATCACCCCCTGACTGTTGTTTGTGTCTTGATAACTTTTATGTAGCATGTTATATAATATAAACTATATTTAAATCATATCATCTAATTATAAAATTTGAGAATTTTTTTTATTATAAAAAAAGAAATGATTATTTTAAAAATATAATAATTGTATATTTTTTGTTAAAGACTTTCACTTTTTGTGGAGACATGAGATTTCTTTCCAAGCATTACACAGTACTGTTGAAGAATTTCTAATCTATTCTATAGTTTTGTAAAATTTCAGGCAAAATGTATTTGAATAGATTAGATGTTTACACAGGTGTTAATTGAGCTTCCTCTTTAATGCTCTACTTTCCTTATTATAGAAGTGGTGTAGATTTGATTGACATCTTAATGGATCATGATAATTATTTTCACATAAACTGCAGAGAAGAGCCTACTGAAAAAGCTCTGAGCATCCTCCGAGCATGCTCGGAGCTTCCTCATAAGAATAAATCTATGATCCCTAAACAACATAACGATTAGCTATAGTCCTGATCAATCACTCCAGCTGAACGTAAACAACATAACGAGTAACGATAGTCCTGATCAATCACTCCAGCTGAACGTAAACAACATAACGAGTAACGATAGTCCTGATCAATCACTCCAGCTGAAAGTAAACAACATAAGGATTAACGATAGTCTTGATCAATCACTCCAGCTGAAAGTAAACAACATAACAATTAACATTGAATCAGGGTTTAATCTATGAATTTGAGGCTTTAGCAACTTTTGCCAGAAATGAGAACAAGACCCTTTTTGGTTAACAGGATAGGACCATTTTCTTTTTCAGTATTGCAAAAACAGTTGCCTGGGCTTACATGAAAAAATATTTAATGTTTACATTCATTTCTTTTTCACCACTTCATCAGTATAGAAATAATCAACTTAAAAGTGGAGGATATCAAGAATTTGTCAGGGCTCACTACCCTGCAAAAACCCTCCAGTTGAAAACATTATACCAATTGTAAGAATGATTTCATTTAAAAAATTGCAATCAAACAGGAACCTACCTCCGACATCAATAAAATGCTTGGCTGCAAGACCAGATCTTGGTGCTGAAAAACAAAATTGAAATGTTCAATTAGAGAGCACCATGTATAGGGTTGATCAGTCAAATCTTTAACTAGATATAATTTTTTAAAATAAGAAATTTCATTGATCCAATTACATGTAAGAGCCCTTGATGGACAGGATGACATTTATTATTAAACACAAAAACAAAACACTAATTTGAAAAAAAAATAATTAAAATTTTACATTGACATTAGATTTAAATGTCTCATTGACGAATAATTCCATATGTGCAGTGGTCCAGTTGTTGCAGTCTTGTCATTTTTTTTTTTGTTGAATTTCATTTGCCGGTATCAGGCAGTTTGTTTTTTTGCTGTAAAATTCATTTACATTGTGCTATATCTCACTACCAGTAATGCTGTTGCTGGTTTCATTTGGGTTTGGTTTTTTTATTTTTTTGGGGGGGGGGGGGGGGGGGAGGGGAGGGAGGGAATAGTGAGCTTATCATTCCATACATGGATCTCCTTATTTACAATATGCAAAAATGCAGAAATTCATTCATATGTTAAGACAGAAGTTTGATTCATTTATCTTTCATGTGGAAACAAAGCTATTACTAGGTTCCACCTGCGGAGCTGTATGCAATAGGTTGAGGTAAAATTTATACTGAAGCATAAATCATCATTCCTTTTCATTGAAGCAACTAAAACTTTAACGAAAATTTTCCTTGTTTGAGTGTAGTCAAAATTCAAACTATTAGCAAACAGGAACAGATATTAAATAGTTACAGAGTATGCAACTCATCATAATCGAGATGGAGACCAAATATATAATCATTCTTGTCATAGAAGCCATGAAAAGTTTGACGGAAACTTTTTTTGTGCAAGTGTAAAATTTCATGGAATAGGAAGAGGCTGCAGGCAGATTTCAAAATTGTTCACCCACTACAACTCAACTCAAAATACAAAATCATTTCCTAGATGAAAGTTTTCTTACCAGGACCATTATAAAGGATATGTTTGTTTGCCCTAACCCTACCTACCAAGAAAAAATAGCTACCTAATCAAAATCTTTTATTGTCCTGATGTGAAAAAGTTCTTTTTTTTAATGATAGGCACAAAGACAAAAAAAAAAAAAAAAAAAAAAAAACATAGAACACTTTCTTTTATTGTCTGGATTTTTTTGCTTCAAATAGACATGGACTAAAAAAACATCTGACACTTTAATTTCTCTTTGCAGAAAAAAGGAAATGCCTACCTTCCTACCCACTGTCTCTACCTTTGGGTAGGGTTTGGGCATACAAAAATATTTTTAAGTGTGTCCCACAGTATTTTAGAGGATCAAACTAAGTTGACTATGCCATATGGATTTTGCTCATTGTTGAAGGACGTACAGTGACCCGTCATTTTGTCTCTGCTTGAGAGTTATCTCATTAGCAATCATACCACATCTTATTTTAACATCGAGCGATTAATATTTGGACATTAATGAATTGCCATCACCATGATTAGTTGTACCGACTTGACAATTAAAATGACGTACTTACCCACACGACCATAGCAGCCTTCTGGGAGTGCTATCTGTATGTCTGTCATTGCACAAACTTTCCCTTTTGATGGAATCTTATAATCATAGGCACTGAAAAGTCCAAATTTACATAAAGATTATTAAACTTTTTAACAATGGATCACATCTCCCTAATCTATTTTCTGCACACTAACAGATGGCAAAAACAAATATCTGAATATGCAGTGATCGGGAAGGACGTGCGCCATTTGCGCTTTTCTACCATAAATGTCGTATAGGGTGACAAATGTAAGCGCCCACATGGCGCACGATATTTTTCACTTCGTTTTTAAACTTTAGATATCGTAAGATGGATTTCCGATCGTGAATCGTGTCGCCATGTGTGTGTACAAAACTGTGTAGTGTTCCCTCCAATGATAGGAGCACCACCTATTGATTTTTGGGACGTCTCGGGCGTTTTTCTATGGTAATAATAGCAACATGTGGTATAACTGATTACCCAAAATACGTAATAAACCATCATTCATAAATTTTTATAAACAACTTTAAATTTGTGAAATTTGGCTAGTACAGTCGAAAAATTTTCTCTAATTATAATCTTTTAAGTAAGCTTGCTATTATTTCGATTGAAAAACCCAAAAGCCTTTTTATGAATGTAGTATTTGTTTCCATAAAAGGCGCTTAACTGTCCTTGTCAATTTTTTGGTCTTTGGCTCGTTTGAACATTTTGTAAACATGCCTTCAGCGAATTGTTGTTGTGTCTTATCAATTAACGTTACTCTCTACTGTTATTCTTGTCATCGCGATGAAGTAATAATAATACAAGAAGTGCAGAGGAAATGCCAGAAACAACCTCTAATACGGAACGTCTGGAATAAAGTATGGCAATTGACGAAGACCCAAATTTAATGTAAAGAAAAACATGAACATGAACAAGGCAACAGTACCAGTTGTAAATAAAGGTTATCGTAAATATTGCCCGGTTTGGAAGAAATTATTGTATATTCATTGAAATTGATATTACAAAGCACAGGAACAATATCCATGATATCAATTAGAATCATACAGGTACTGTAAGTGTAAATGCTCTTTTGTTCCGACGTTGGAAAGTTCCGGCGGAAAGAACTAACTAGTCGAAAAGTTCCAGAGGAACTTATTAACTAGTTACTTTGTTCTTCCTCTGGTTTAAAAGTTCCACCGGAACAAAGTGACTAGTTGAAAAGTTCCAACGGAACATATCAACTAGTTAGAAAGTTCCTTTTTGCCAAATTAGTCAAAACCGGAACTAACAAACTAGCCCAAAAGTTCCAACGGAACTTATTAACCAGTCACAAAGTTCCATTTGGAGAATTGATGCAAAGAACCACATGAGGAGGGGGGTATTCTTCCCTCTCTTGAGGGTACTATGAATACTAAATTTGCATGATAATGCAACTTATTCCGTTTTATGTGAGCTATGAAATACAACTTAAATTTTGCATATTTGTCCCCAAAGAAACCCCTTTCAGTGCGTTTGGTATTCTTGTAAATTAATGATTTGCTCTTATATATACTGATACTCATTCTTCCCCCTCTTTCTGCAAAAAGGACGAAATATGGTATATTCGGAACGATGTAACTAGTTGTTCTGTTCCGCCAGAACTATTCAACTAGCTACATTGTTCCGGGACTTTTCAACTAGCTACTTTTTTCCGGAACTTTTCGACTGCACTCGGAATAAAACAACTAGTTGGAAAGTTCCATCGGAATGAAATAACTAGTTGAAAAGTTCCGCCAGCAAAGTAACTGCCGGAACAAAGTGGCTGTTACATTAGTACCACTGCCTCGTTGCTGAAATATACATTTTATTTTTAAATTATTTATTGTAAACGAATGGCCCACTCATTTGACAACATGGCCCATTAATTCTAAAAATGGCCCATTGAATTTATTTTATGGGGGCCCTGGGCCCATAGAGAAAAAATCCTTCCAGATCACTGAATATGCTGATTTTCATTTAATTTGATAAAATTATCGACATTCATTTAGGCCATAAAAAGAATATGTTTGCTTGCCCTAACCCTACCTACCCAGAAAATAGCTGCCTACTCAAAATCTTTTATTGTTCGGATGTGAAAAAGTTTTTTATTTAATCAGATCAGTCTTCACGATGAACTGCTAAATCTACAGGCCCGGAGCTCAATTTTTGAAATTTTTTAGTTAGATTCTGTTGGCTTGTAGATATGATTTTTACAGGCCCGAGAGCAATATTACAAGCCTGGGCTGCCACTCAGCGTGAAGACTGTCAGATAGACATGAAGACTAAAAAATTTGTAAGGGTTCCGCGGAACCCAGGGCGAGTTTATTTATCTACTAGGGTAAGTAGTAGAGTAACTCGAGTGAAAATTAAATGCATAGAGTACGCACTCGAGTGACGTCATTGACTTACTCTCTTCAACCCAACACTGGACCAAGATTCCTCGAGTTCCAAGATGGCCTCTGAAGAATAAAACATGCAAGATGCAGTTGTAAAAATCTGCACAGTATGTGAATATCTTTGCAGATTATCGATTTTACTCATAAAAAAATAAATACGTGTGATGTGACATATATATTATTTTTAACTTCATCATGTTCATCATGCAAGAGAAATGTACGTATCTCATCATGTACTTAAATTATTTAAAATTAATGAGGCAAAAGTTTCTGACGAGTTGCCAACAACTGAACCGATTGAAGATTTTCCAAATACTGATATTGAAATACATGAGGCAAGCAGTCCGAAGAACTTTGTTTCGGCCTCTCTCCACAGTTTATTTGATAAAGAAATTAATATATGCACTGTAGATTTAATTTGGTTAGACAATATATATATAGATCTACTTATTATGCATAGCTATAATTAGTCTGTAGTTAGACTGATAACTTACGTAACAGATTATTTAATGTAGCATTTTCAACTGTCTTGATTATGTTAATAAAATGCTCCGCTGGGCGCAGCTTGATACGGCCCCAGAGGTCGAACCCTGAACAGTTGGGGCAAGTATGGACACAACATTCAAGCTTGATACAGCACTGAATTTGGATTGTGATTAAATATTTGACACAGCATAGGTTTCTGACACAGAATGAATGTGGTCTAAGAACTTAAAAAATTTTACTTTACCTATTCAAACCATATCATTATTGTCGAGCCTTCGACTTTAGTCGAAAAAGCGCGACATAGCGATCCCACATTCTGTCGGCGGCATCCACAAATATTCACTCTGTGGTTAAAGTTTTTGAAATTTTATAACTTTCTTAAACTATCCTGGATTTCTACCAAACTTGGACAGAAGCTTGTTTATGATCATAAGATAGTATCCAGAAGTAAATTTTGTAAAAATAAAATTCCATTTTTTCCGTATTTTACTTATAAATGGACTTAGATTTTCTGCCAGGAAACAACACATTCACTCTGTGGTTAATGTTTTTAAAATTTTAATAACTTTCTTATACTATTTTGGATTTGTACCAAACTTGGACAGAAGCTTGTTTATGATAAAAAGCTAGTATCTAGAAGGAAATTTTGTAAAAAAATAAATCCATTTTTTCCTTATTTTACTTTTAAATGGACTTAGATTTTCTGCCAGGAAACAACACATTCACTCTGTGGTTAATGTTTTTAAAATTTTAACAACTTTCTTATACTATTTTGGATTTGTACCAAACTTGGACAGAAGCTTGTTTATGATCAAAAGCTAGTATCTAGAAGGAAATTTTGTAAAAAAATAAATCAATTTTTTCCGTATTTTACTTTTAAACGGACTTAAGATTTTCTGCCAGGAAACAACATATTCACTCTGTGGTTAAAGTTTTTAAAATTTTAATAACTTTCTTATACTATTTTGGATTTGTCCAAACTTGGACAGAAGCTTGTTTATGATCAAATGCTAGTATCTAGAAGGAAATTTTGTTTTCTTCCAGTTAACATTACATTCAGTCTGCAGTTAAAGTTTTTAAACATTTATTAGATTCATAAACTATCCTGGATTTTTACCAAACTTGGACAGAAGCTTCTTACAATCAAAAGATAGTATCGAGAGGAATATTTTTATTGATTTACTTACTCTTTTTTGTTGAGCCTGCGATTAACAAAAGGTAGGCGAGACACTGGGTTCCGTGGAACCCTTACGAATTTTTATTATTTGCTTTATATATAAATCAGAAATAACCAATTCAAAATGGAAAATTTTAAAGAAAAAAAAGATCCCTCCCCCAAATTTTTTGAACCCTTTATGATTCATCACCCCCAAACTCAATCCCAGCCTTCCCTTTGTGGTATGGTACCTTGCAGTACAATTTCTGAGAGATCCAAACACTTGAACACAAGTTATTGTCTGGAAACTAGAAAAATGCTTGTTTTTAGGCCCCAAATTCCTAAACGTTTAGGGCAATTACCCCCACTCAAACCCAGCTTTCCCTTGGTGATATGGAACCTTGTAGTATAATTTCATAAAGATCCATACACTTACACACAAGTTATTGTCCTCAGAAACTAGAAAAATGTTTTGTTTTTTGCCCCTTTTTGGCCCCTAATTCCTAAAATTAAGGGACAATTACCCCCAAAATCAATCCCAGCCTTCCCTTTGTGGTATGGTACCTTGCAGTACAATTTCAGAGAGATCCATACACTTGGAACACAAGTTATTGTCTGGAAACTAGAAAAGTGCTTATTTTTTGCCCCTTTTTCCTAAATGTTTTGGGCAATTACCCCCAAACTCAATTCCAGCTTTCCCTTTGTTGATATGGAACCTTGTAGTACAATTTCAGAAAGATCCATAAACTTACATACAAGTTATTATCATGAAACTAGAACAATGCTTGTTTTTTGCCCCCTAATTCCTAAAATTTTGAGGCAATTACCCCCAAAATCAATCCCAGCCTTCCCTTTGTGATATGGAACCTTGTGGTACAATGTCAGAGAGATCCATACACTAACACACAAGTTATGTCTGGAAGTTACAAAAATGCTTATTTTTGGCCCCTAATTCCTTAACTGTTGGAACCATAACCCCCAAAATCAATCCCAACCTTCCTTTTGTGGTATTGAACCTTATGGTAAACTTTCATAGAGATCCATTCACTTAAACTAAAGTTAGAGTGCGAAAACCAATGTGTCTTCGGACGACAACGACGACAACGTCATACCAATATACGACTGCAAAATTTTTTTGCGGTTGTATAAAAACTGAAGCCTTGCATACACCAAAATAGTGACCAATTTCGCGATGTGAATATATATATGCCATATATTTATTTGTTCGAATGTTTCTGCGCTGATCTAAAATGAGATTGAAAGTCAACAGAAGCAAATGTTGTAATAACTGTTTCTGCGTAGCATGTGATCCGTGAAACATGGGGTCTACGGGGCAATGATGCTATGGTAATAGCTTAATTATTCAGTTGCGTGTGTCTAGGCATTGCTAGACTGTCTATGCCCTTCATATTCCATATTAACATAAAACATTGCATGTTGTTGTAAACTTCTTCCTCCATGTTACTCTAGTATTGAGTTTTCTGTTCACGTAAAACATTGCGCGCGCACAGGCACTAGAATAACCAGAGTAAGTGTAGAGTAGATAAATAAACTCGCCCCCGGTGTCTCGCCTACTTTTGCTGTTGTCTATGTTTTCAGTGTGATAGGGGAATGGACATAATAGATACAGTTAATGAAATGGTTTAATAAATGTTTTAAAAACTTTAACTGCAGACTGTATGTAATTTTAACTGGAAGAAAAAGTAAGTCTATTTATAAGTAATAAACCGAAAAACAGGAAATAAATTTTTACAAAATTTCTTTCTAGATACTAGCTTTCGTTCATAAACAAGCTTCCGTCCAAGTTTGGTACAAATCCAGGATAGTTTAAGAAAGTATTAAAATTTTAAAAACTTTAACCACATAGTGAATATTTGTGGACGCCGCCGCTGGAATGTTCGCTATGTCTCGCTTTTGCAACAAAAGTCGCAGACTCGACAAAAAACATCTTTAATTTCTCATTGCAGAAAAAAGAAAATACCTACCTACCTACCCACTGTCTCTACCCTTGGGTAGGGATTGGGCAAACCAAAATATTTTTTTAAGTGTGGCCTTAATAAATTTTTTTTTTTATTATTCCAGCTTAAAAATATGTAAATAGATGGGGAATTAAAGCTATCAGAAATATACAAGGTTGATAAGTTCTAATACACATTATTTTTTCTAGATTTCAGGCATGGGAAAAGGTTACATTTTTACCTATGCAATATATTAAAAGAGGGTGGTAAAGGGTTATTTTCGTGCAACATGTTTTGCCATTTTTATTTTAACGTTCAGCCGTGAAAAAGGTTCGTTATTCTCAGTGTTTCGTGAAATTGGTAAAAAGATCAACTTGCAAGAAATTTTTAATTGTTCGTTCATCATGAAATGGCAATTCTATTTCACGTTCTTCCGTGCAGATACCCCCCCTTTACGTCCCTCTGAAAAGGTATATATTTTTAAAATCTACATTACATCCCAAATTATGCCAGAGGTCTGTACATTGTGTCCTGGCCTTCACTGGTTAAAAAACAAACGGGTTTCACGACGGATTAGAATATGGAAACAAAAGATGGCGTAAAATACGGAAATAATCATAGGTAAGCGGAAAAATAAAGTAGCTAAAAAAAAGGCGCAATTTATTTCTTCAATACCTGTACAAATCATAACCAGCCGCTAACTTTGAACCTCTAGTCGGACTGAGAGCATTGGCTGTCAATTTAGCAAATCTTAAAACCACATTGTCAAGGGGCATTTTTGGTTTTTTGCAAACAGGTTCAGTTTCTACCCCCATCAGCTTCTTGGTCTTCCCCACGGTCTTCCCTCTTACAGCTGTGTCCGCCAATTATTTCCCGCTCTTATTTCGGGGTTACACTAATGTCCTGACAATGTCCTGACAAAGTCCTGACGGATATGAAAATGCTAATTACGTTTTCATTATATAAAGGATTTACTTTAAATTTGGAACCAAGCAAGATGACAACATTAATTTAATAAATAAAAGAAAAAAAAATAAATAAATATTTTTAAGAGTTAGAAAACTTGACCTGACCAACTTCGACTTTGAAATCACTTATGTCCTGACCGATATGAAACGGCTTAATACTTTTTATTATTCACAGGATAGACTTCAAATTCGATATCAAGGAAGATAAAAACATTTAATACAAAAATATAAGAAAAAAATGAAAAAAAAATAAATTTTAGAGTTAGAAAACTTGACCTGACCAACTACGACTTTGCCGCGACTAATGTACGGACCGATATAAAACTGCTAATTTCTTTTTTTTTTTTGGAAGGATTGACTTCAAATTTGACACCAGACAAGAAAGTAATATTGATTTAATACTTATTTGAAAAGAATTGGGAAAAAAATACTTTAAGGGTAAAAAAACTTGACCTGACCAACATCGACTTTGTCGTGACTAATGTCCTGACCGATATAAAAGTGCTAATACTTGTAACATTGTTGGTATGATCTGAGACTACTATAACACAGAGATTGGTCACTTCCCGTACTGACCAGTCAAATGGTAATTAATTGTAAGTCTTCGATCACGTGACTCGGCACGTGACTCGCAATGATTGACAAGAAGGATTCGACCGCCATTTTTGACAGCGAAAGAGAAAATAATAATTAACAAATGTGGTTTATAAAGAGTGTTATGTTCCGGTAAGTGTGAATATAAGATTTGACATGTTCATAAATGTTGGTTTATAAGCACTTTAAATAAAATAAGTGCAGTTATAGACTTGAATTTACCGACCAAACCGGAAAGTAACCTCGAGTTATTACCAGTCCGTGGGACAGGGTCCATGAGCAACTCACCCATAACTTACATTCAGATGAACAATCTATTTTCCGGATAATGTATGTGCAAGCCTTAGTAATTAACCGATGTAATGATGTAAAATTTGTAATTATATGAAATTCCAATTTTTGTGAATCAGTAAGTTCCCGCTGCAGAACTGAGAAACACACGAGACAGGTCTGATAGGTGAATTTGTATTGTTAGTGAAAGAAATTTAGATTTATATTGGTTCCCTTGATAATATATATGCAGTCTATACATGCTAGTATAATAATATTATGCAATGAAAATGTGTCACCATGTGAAATACCAGTACATCATGAGTTCCTAAATGGACGTATTTTTTTTTTTAAATAATTGACCCAAACATGATGTAAAAAGTACATGCACCTTTGGTCTGCATCCTTTATCAGTTTAACTATTTTGATCCATATTGACATGATTGGTCAATTACTGCTGAGTCTCAAGTCTCAGATTACTGTCTTAAAAATTAATGAATTGCCTATGCTATAAACTTGACAAAGATTATTTCTTTTTATTTATAATATATTCTTTATTGTAGGAATACCCCCAGAAAGAAATCACGCATTAGAAGAAGGGAGAAGTACTACAGGAGAAAATGACTTTTTTTAGTATTTTTTTAAATTTCATTGAATTTGTCATGCTTGTCTTACATGGAGAAATAAATATTTAAGTCTTTGAATATACATTTTTATTATTATATACATTAAAACTAAGACAGGAATGCAGAAATTCACTAACACGCTCAGTTTGGATAACAGTTCAATGAAAGAAAAAAAAACAAGTAACCACACATTTTTATATATTAAAGGAATAGCCACTTGAAGCAAACTTTAAGGAGATTTTTATATATTTTTGCTAATGATCATCAGACAACTCCTTTAGTCCAAATGAAGTTCAGTGAAGTGGATGTAAGTTATTGGAATGCACCGTAATTACCTTCAAGAATGAGAAAACCTATACCGTGCAGTCAGCTTCAAAAGTCCCCGACATGGAAAATATATAACAATTCACTAGAGAAAACGAAGTGTCTACAATAACAAAGCAATTTACGAAAATTCAAATATGACGGACATGAACCAACAGCAACCACTGAATTACAGGCTCCTGACTTGAGACGGGCACATAAAGAATGTGACAATGTTAAATATTTTTAGGCGCTCATCACCACCACTAGCCTGGGACATTGGTGTAACGACATAACATAAAAACAAACTTTAAACATAATTTGAAAATAGTTCATTTCTGTTTAATCAGTTGTGAATCGAAGTTGAATTTACAGAAAGGTGACATCAATATATGCTATCATATTTAACATTCTTGTTTAGATCTGACATTGCTACGTATTTATACATTCCACATTATTTTTGGCTTCTCAGAATTTTCACATGGTAAACTGTCAGCAGTTACCCAACAAAAAAATGTTATAGGGAACCTATTTACAAAGCATCATGCCGACAACAATTAACATGGTTTGTCACCAAACATTGAACAAACACGTTTATATTTGCTGTGGCTAAAAAAACTAAAGCAAATCACAACTCTTTTCATCTGAGTTGCTCAATTATTAGGGTTACAAAAAGCATAGCGATATAACTAAAACATACGACACTTTAACAATAGACAATATTCAAATTTTCAAAAACTTTACGGCTCTCTATTGAAGCACAAAATTTCTTGTCCGGGATTTTGAAAGAGGGCACATATTTCTGGTGTTGAAAAAATGTCATCGTAATTTACACTAATGTGGTTCTATTTATGTTAACATAGAGATAATTTGATTATTCAGTCACGTAATTTTGAAGCTTCTTCGTTCTGATTTACATGTACTTGCGGTTGATGCTTCTTTTGAAGTTTTTGAAGTTTTTGTAGTTTTTGCAGCAGGGACGTATAGTCATCCTCAGATTCAATATCTGATGCAGTATATTCACCACGTAAAAGATCAAGATTGAGATCACTATCATCCCAAGATAAAAAATCAATGTTACTGGACATTGTGAATTGAAAAATGAAAATGCCGTCGATATTTTGGGAACATATATATAATTTGTAGGGCTTATGTTTGCTGCTTTATGTATCCATTGCAGTTATAACCTCTTTGCTGATCTGTTACGTAAGGAAATTACTCATTTACCTTTAATGAAATTTTTTCTCTCTTCTGTGATCGCCGCTTATTACATTGTTTGCAAAAACTTGACCTAATTATCAGACGGAAATTTAAAAAAAGTGGGGGGGGGGGGGGGGGGGGGTTGAAACTTGTTTGAAAAAAAAATTTACGTTGGAAAATCTGAATGAGGGTCTGGATGGGGGTTCTTTATTTCCTATAATTTCTATGCCATTTTTCTCTATTCTTTAAATCTTAATAACTTATTATTTTCTCTTCTCTATTCTTTATTTGTCGGTCCATTTTTCTCCATTCTATACTTTTTTTGTCCCTATTTCTCCATTCTATAAAACCCCATCCACACCCTCCTGAATCCTACCACAAGTGCACCGACGATATTTGACAAGGTTTACTACAATAAACATGTATATTGGGCACTCAGCAGTGAAATACCTTACAAGTATAGAATAAAAGTTTACTGCAATAAACGGAGCCTCGTGTACCTTGGGCACCCAGCTGTGAAACAAAATTCATCTCCCATGCTTATGAGACTACCTGTCTTTACAGGTAAAATAATTGTATATTAGATACAATTAACGGACGTGTAGCAAAACAATGTAACTGTAAGATTGATAAGATTAATCACATTCACATTTTCAAGAGTGGCCGCATAATAACAAACTATTAACAAATTATTAATGATTAAAAACAAAAATTTAAATATGAATAGATATAACTGCATTTGAAAGATAAAAACTATATATATCTTTTTTTTTTTTTATTAATTCAATTTTGTTTTTAAATTATTTTTAAAAGAAAAATAATAATATCCGATACTGTTATAGTATTCTCAGTGATAGGTGATATATGTCGTCTGCTACGGTCGAATACGAAACTACGTTAAAATAACGTAGCTAACTACCGGAGACTCAGATAATCCGATAAATCTATAGTGACCAATCTCTGTGTTATAGTAGTCTCAGATAAAAGTAAACGCAAAGGAAGGTGATATGAACCATTAAAATTAAATCACACCTATATTAATTACTATAATCACAAATTGGAATGTTTTCTTTCCTATCTGATTATTTATTTTTTGTTTATCTAGTTATTGAGTGATTATTCATGTCATATAAAGGCAGGAAATGAGATTCGTATTGTTTAAAAATGATGTATATACAAGCATATAAATTACAATTATGTTAGAATCACAAAGAAATAAAATAAATTAATACACACAATTTTCACTAACAGAAAAAAAGAAGACATTCAATTAAATTGAGTTCAATAAAGATAAATGGAAAAGAACAATTTAGTCACGATTACCTACCACAGTGAAAAACGTTCATACCTAATATATAGGAGTTAACACAATACAATACAATATGCTACAAACTACAATACAATACAATACAATACAATACAATACAATACAATACAATACAATACAATACAATACAATACAATACAATACAATACAATACAATACAATACAATACAATACAATACAATACAATACAATACAATACAATACAATACAATACAATACAATACAATACAATACAATACAATACAATACAATACAATACAATACAATACAATACAATACAATACAATACAATAATACAATACAATACAATACAATACAATGTTCAAGCATCGCGATGTTCATCACAGTACCAATCTTCTGAAACTCCTGAACATGTCTGATGAACCCACTTAGTACAGCTGATCCGTCCTCTTTTCGCTTCACATCCAATCATGTTCTCAAAAACATCTTGTTTACCACACTGACAACTACACTCAATTCTTCTCGCAAAAATCCTAACCAAGTCTGTACTTGATGTTGTATTTTGAGGAAATGGTGTAAAATGTCCTTTTTCCAAACACGATATTAAATGCATGTGGTCGCATGTATATCTCAATAAACTTCGTACGTCTTTGAGTGTTGAGTTTTTCTTTATGACAATATTCCACCATGTTGGCAATAGCATAAACACCACAGTCATATCCATTTGTTTGTTGTTGAACATCAGGTAATTTAACAAGCAAGTTC